TACGGAATGAATGTTTTCGACCTAGCGGCTTGGAGGAGGACTAACATAAGCTCCACTTACTATCACTGGCTTGACGAGGTAAATGGAAACCACTAACTACCCAACAATCAGTATCAAGCAGTAATCATCTTAACTCAAAACAATTTTCATGCATGTGTTGCAGAACTTAAAATCAGACCTGAGTTTGTGGCAGCTGGGAACTTTGCCTCCTGGGTTGATAGCTTTCCACGGCCATGTCCAAACCATAGATCCGTTCTGGCATATGCTTGGTCTCGGATACCAAGAGACCACGAGCTATGCTGATGCTGAAAGCGCCGCCGTTGTTCATTTCAATGGAAGAGCTAAGCCGTGGCTGGATATAGCATTTCCTCATCTACGTCCTCTTTGGGCTAAGTATCTTGATTCCTCTGACAGGTTCATCAAGAGCTGTCACATTAGAGCATCATGATAATCACAAACCAAAACCCAATTTCTACATTGGCACCCAGAGAGGAGATTCACAGATCAAAATATAGGAGCAAACTTTTCTGCAATGGAGTTTTCACTTCTCTACCGGATCATGTTTTGCGGTCTCTTGAGTCTCTCATGTTTCTAATTTTTTGTACTTTCAAACTCTTATGGCGAGAAAGTAACCCCATTCTATGTATTAATGTAAGAACACATAAAGTGAGAGACGATCTGCCAAACTCTACTTAAATTTACATGTGAATAGATAACATTGCGCAAAGCAATTGGAGTTTACAATGTCATATCATTGTTCAACAGATAACAGTTACGATGATAACACGACAAAGCAAAAGCAACGATAAGACTAAGAAGGCCGAGAAAGAGGAGAGCAAAACAAATGGAGACTTTTCTTTTAAGCGGAAGCAAGATGCAAACCGGTTGATGATTTTTCTTGACTAAGCAACAGGAGGGCGAAGGACATGATCCTGAGAAGTATCGACTGAAGCAGGAGGCATGAACTGCCACATGGCAACTCCTGGGTAACTGATGATTGGCACCATCTTGTTTCCGGGAGCTTGGCCTTGCGCAGAAGCAAAAGCAGTAGGCATCATAGGTGGGGCTGGGAAAAAGCTTGGTTGAGGAGCATTCATGGCTTTCAGCTGCTGCTCCAGCTTTTCTTTCTCTGTCTTCAGCCTCTGTTTCTCATCTCGCAGCTCGTTTTTCTCAGTCTGATTTACATGAACCGGAAACTAGTAAGCATTCGATGATTTTATGGGGAAAAAGGAGGATTACAAATTTCACCTTTAACTCTTTGATTTTGTCCTGAAGACTTGAATTGGAGTCTTTCAGTTTCTGGGCCTCGCCCCGTAGCTGTGTCACCATGCGGACAGCATCAACTAAGATAGCAGCCTTGTCTGTTTTGGGAGGATTTCCAGGCTCCAAAATAGCACCCAATTCCATAAACCTGTTATTCATTTGAAAGGCAGCAATTTAAGTTCCTACTAGATAAGAAAAAGAAGGATATACAAAATTGAAAAAACTTACTTGTCATTCAACCTGTCCCGCCGCTGCTTCTCTCTACATGCTTTCGAGCTAGTGGCAGAGGATGATTCACATCTTCCCCTGAGACAAGAAATGACCAGGATTACTCTTTCTGATACTTGTCAAGAGAGCCAATACAGATCCCCGCAACAAGAGAACCATAAAAAAGTCTATAGCGATTTCTCAAAAGTTATAAATTCTGAGTTGCTATAGTTTCCTGGTTCAGTCGGTCTTTTTATTTAAAGGTGTGTCACATAGAGTTTACCATAAGAAGCTTACCTCTTTTTGGATCCAGGTTCCTTGCTAGCTTCTGAATTTCCAGCTGAGCCATCAACTCCAGCACTGAATACATCGAACCAACTAAGTATTACATCTATATTCAATCATGCAGCAACTTACAATTGCTCACTTCCAAGGAAGCAGATTAATTAATTAACATTGACATCGTAAGGTCAAACCATCCACTCATATTAGAAGGCCCTATCCATAAAAAGGAATCTAATTCCCACCTAACAAAGTGATATAGATCAATCGATTCTCGAATCAAGCAACATGGCAGAAGTTACACTCAAAAACATGTCAGGCACACACAGTTGACTTTAGATAAACAAACCCAAATCCTCTCCTGAGGCCAAACTTCCTAACTTAACATCATTTCACCCACTCTTAAGGATATCTACACAAGCTAAAAGAACCCAAATTTAAGCATAGAAACCAATTCTAATGAATAAGAACTCAGTTCCTTCTCCATAACTTACTCAACCAATCACACAAGCTTCAAATCACAAAGTTCGTTACTTTAAACATAAATTCTCGTTTCTTCTAAAATTCGAAGACAAACAAAATTAACCCTTTCCTTGATTAACGACACACTTTCGCATCCCAGAACAAACCCAGATAAAATTATTCAAGCAATCACACTAATTTCACCCAAATCAATTTGAATTTCTCAAAAACCAGATCGGAACCCTAATTGAAGCACTTAGAGAGAAAAGGGAAGTGAAAAAAAAAACCTGGAGTTAGAAGAAACACCAATAGGTTGCTGAACAGGCCAAGAGAAACCAGGACCTTGGATTGTGAAACTTCCGTAATCAGCATCGATCAAGTCACAAATCCAATTAGCGTTTTCGGGTGACACCATCTCCTGAAACTTCCACCGGTGAAAAAGGGGAAAAGGAAAAAACGGCGAGTTTTTCGAAACTCCCGGGTAATTGAATCTTCCCGGCGGCGATCAGAGAGATCGAAAGAGGTGAATTTTAAAGCCAAATCGATTTCTGCCGTTGGTGGAAGGAAACAACAAAGAAGAAGAAGAAAAAACTGTTGGAGGAGACGAATTGTGGAATCTTGGAATCCAGAGAAATTAGAGTGGTTTTCACGCGCACTCTTCTTTTTGTTTTGGGCTTTCAAAGGCCCATTTATTTTACTTTTCTAGTTTATTTTTTAATTCATTTCATACCTTTTATTTTATTTATTTTATGTGTTACATCATCATATATATTAAATCAAATATCTTTTTAAATAAAATTAACTAATCAGGGCATTTAATCTAATGAATTCTAATTCGAATTTGAAAGTATGTGGTGGGTGTGGGTTAAAGTGTAAATAAAAATCAACATTTCATAATCGGTCAAAATTTCCATATATTTTGGAGTAAATTCCAAAATAAATAAACTCAGAGATTTTTTTTTTGTGTTGCTACTTGCTAAAGAATAATTTTAGTTGTTTTAAGTGAATATGCACTAGAAAGACAATTAGCATTCCATTTTTATCAAAATCGGTATAGGCGTGTAGTATAGTGGCAAGTAATTTTGTTTTCTAACCAAAGAGAATGGATTTTTCTTTTTCTGTGTTTCGACTATCTTAGCAATAAGTAATAAGCACGAATCTAAACACCTATCAATCTGTCACCACTAAAGCTGGTTTTGATTCATTTTATTTTTTGTTTAAGTAATACATATGTGTTTTCTATTTGTCCGTTTAGCTTTAAACAAATTAAATTGATAAAGAAAAATTGTGATCGGGTTCGTTGGATGATCTAACCGATACTATTTGAGAACATGGTTGGAATGGTCGTTTGGTCGTGATCTAGGAGTTTATACATTCTTCTGCTTCCTCCCGTACATACATGAAAATTCCAACATTTTTTTGTTGTTGTTAAGATACACATTAATATTAACTTCACAACTAGCATTGAGATCATTTATTCGTGTCAACTTTTTAAAATATAAGTATAAGATGCCCATCAACATCTCAGGTTCAAAATCCAAAATTTAACAATATATGGGTAATTAATTAAGAACGGTTGCACAAAAAAAAATAGAGGAATCTTTTATGGATAGTATATAATGTATTTGTTTTTTTTCCCAAATTATAGAATAGCACCTCTTTCTTTTTAAACCAATACTCAAATTATACGCGTCAACTTATTTTCTTCCAAGAATATAACGAAACTCAAATAATTTAGTAAATAGATTTCTCAACTACTGATTAGGGATATCCATCCATACAGTGAGTTATATTCTCTAGTTATATTGTACTTAATATATTTTTCTTAAATTTGTTTTATTCATTGTCCTTCTCTTTTTGTTATCTTCTATATTTATATATATATAGGGGTGTCAAAATGGGTCAAGATTCATGGGTCAACCAAAACTCAACTCAACCCATGAACCCTAATGAATTGAAATTTTTGACTCAAATGACTTGATGGATCAAATGAGTTATTGAGTCAAATGGGTTGATGGATCAAATGAGTTGGATTGAAATGAGTCAGTGGTTTCAATGATTTACCCATTTAACCCATCAATTTTTGTTAAATTGAATCAAACCAATTCAAATCTCTAAACCGATTTCAATTTGAGTCTAACCAAAACTTCTAAACCGATTGAATATAGTCCTTAATTTTTCCGCCAAAAATGTGAATACACAATTTTTCCTTCAAAATATAAATTCGTGATTTTCCCGCCAATAACGTAGATCCGCAATTTTCCCGCCAAAAACGTAAATTCGTGATTTTCCTGCCAAAAGTTTTTATAATTTTTAACCAAAAATGAAAATATGTAATTTTCCCGCCAAAAACGTAAATCCGTAATTTTCCCGCCAAAAACGTAAATCCGTGATTTTCCCGCCAAAATTTTTTATAATTGTTAGCCAAAAATGAGAATGTAAAATTTTCCCGCCAAAACGTAAATGCGTGATTTTCCCGCCAAAAACATAAATCCGTGATTTTTCCGCCAAAATTTTTTATAATTTTTAACCAAAAATGGGAAAGTAAAATTTTCCCGCCAAAAACGTAAATCCGTGATTTTTCCGCCAAAATTTTTTATAATTTTTAGCCAAAAATGACAATGTAAAATTTTCCCACCAAAAACGTAAATCCGTGATTTTCCCGCCAAAAACATAAATCCGTGATTTTCCCGCCAAATAATAGTGATGTTGATTATTATTATTATTATTATTATTATTATAATATTTTAATTATTAATGTATTTATTATATTAATAGGTTAATGGGTCAACCCATTAACCTTCTAACCCATCAAATTAAATGAGTTGATGGGTTGACTCAACTCATTTAGTAAATAAATTCATTAACCTTAGTAAAATGAGTTGAGTCAACCCATCAACTCATTTAACTCTAAACTCATTGGGTAATGAGTTGAGTTGAGTTGGGTTAACCATTTTGACACCCCTATATATATATATATTTAAACAAAATAAAAAGTAATATTCATAGGAGATTATCATTTTCTTCTTGTTATAACGCTTCACTACCATTATTTGAAAATATGATCGGCTAAGCCAGTTGCTTTTAGTTTGATTATTGTATGCAGAAGTGGCATTATGTATCAACTTGACTATTTGGAGTACAATATATAATCAAATGATAAACAAGCAATTACACAAATATTTTAAAGTTTGACTTGTTCTTTTTCCCAAGTTCCGTGAAGGCATGAATTTTGCCATGATTTCAGATGTTATTTAGTTTACCTTATCTTAATATTTAGAAGACATTCAACAGGAGTTGACTAAATCATATAATATTTGTAGGGTATATTCGTTCGATGTTCTAGAAAAACAACGATTACGTACGTGTTAATTACAACTGGTAAGAACAATATTTATCTGGTTTAGTGAAATATCAAATGACCAATAATAGACCAATATAATAGTGACATGGTGGAACATATGAAATACTAAAATTGAATTAATTATAACGTTTACATGTAAATATGTAATGATAATGAACTATGAAAAGTTAATTTTCGAATTGATATTTATGTAACGAACGAACGTAATGCGTTAATCATTATGCGTGTATGTTGTGAGATTAGAGATACGGCAAAACCATTTTTGAAAAAAAAATGGCATATGATCCAAGATTTCAAATGTTTTTGGTAAGTTGTTTCAGTAGTATATCTATTACTCCATTATCCAACAAGAAGATTAATTATAGTTATAGGGAATATAGAGTATGACCCTATCACAATTAATTTTGTTTTTTACAATTGACACACCAAATTCAAGTCAAATTGAATCTAATGATTCTTATATCAACATCTTGATTTTATCTGGTGTACATGTAGCTCAATTTAACTATAACAAAATCTATAACAACCTAAATAGAAAACAAACATTTACCTAGAATCAGCTAATCAAGTGGGGTTTCAAGTTGATCATCAATGGAATACATTGTTCCAAAGGGTGGGCAAAAAATGCCGTCATGTCCCATTCTGTTACGTATTATTTCCATTTCCGAATTCTTGTGTTATACATGATTACCCCTTGATTTGAAAAAAAAAATTTGATAAATGGTATACAGTAAAATCCCTATAAATTAATATTCGATAAATTAATATATTTTTTTGGTACTAAATAGATATCTTGGCCCAATTATCACTTCTATAAATTAATAAACACTATAAACTAATAAAATTATATAAAATACATTGGTATCTTACTAATAAATTTACTTTTTCATGTTTTGAAAAAAATGGATCCGTTATTCTTACTATTTATAGTATTAATCAATCTTCACGTTTTATGCTTTTGAAAAGTAATTTCACTTACAAAAATATTAAAATGTAACTAAAAATAACAAAATATTACTTATCTATAAACATTGAGTAGTTTTAGCGATTATTTTGCCCAAGTTTCTCAAGTTGAGTTATTTCAGCTATACGATATATATTGAATTTAACCAAACATCAACCAATCATTCATATCAAAAATTTGACCAAACACACTACTACCGTTAGACTTCTAGGTCTGGTAATTGGTCACAGACTCACAGCAAAGAGAAATAAATATTTTGAATCCCAGAAGATGAATATGAATCCGAACATCAACAAGTAAAACCCTATTCATTATCCGAAAGAAAAAAGAATTACATAAACAACAGATATTAAAATGCTAAACCAAACTATACAAATTACAACAAAAGGTCTTCATGTTTTCTTGTTAGAATCATCCCATCCTTCATCAAGTGGTGACCATATTTTAAGTACAAACATTCATATAATTAACTTTGAAATGAAGCTTTTAGCTTCAAACTCCAAATCCATCTCTCTCTCTTTCTCTCATCCAAGGCTCAAACGATTTTCCAACGGTTTGATGTTAGTCTGCCTACGTGGTGTTCCAATCTCGCAAGCATTCACTCTTGCTGCAAATCTAAGAGAGCAGAGAGACTCACCGGTTGAAGAAGATTCCGGTGCAATGTTCACAAACATTAGCGTCTTTGCGTCACCGCCTAAGCAAGGCTGAATTACAAATCAAACACAATTTTTATTATGGGGCACAAATCAAGAAACAAAAATATTGAAAGATGTTTTGGTGGTTTGGTTAGTACCTGGAGAAGATATGTGAGCTTTGAGTTTCGGAATGGTACGTGATCTTCTTTCTTTGCTAAGGCGAATATGACATCGCCTAGAGACGACAAACTTTTGTTGATTGCCTGAAGAAAGAAACAAAGTTTAAGAGGCTAAAATTGCAAGAAACCATATTCTTGTTTTATGTTTCCAACAAACGTACTTGAGTTTCTTTAAGTCTATCTCCAGTTGATCCACTCTTCGATAACCGCTCACTCCCCGCAAGATCAATCAGGTTCAATACACCTTGTACTTGTTGCTCGGTGCTCTGTAAGAAAAAAGCAGGTTTGGTTAATCACACAAAACAAACATTCTGTAAGAAGAAAGACGGTTTGGTTAGTACCTCGTTAACACCAGAGATTCTTAGTGTGAAAACAAAATGGCTTCTTGAAGATTGCTCGTTCATCTGAGTCTTCCCTACCGACCTGAAGAAGAAAGAGAACAACTTTAAACTGTTAGAAAGATTCATCGAAAGTCATGATGGCCATTTTTGTTCAGTCATATTGAAACGGGTTTCAGCTATTTTGCCTGTTACGAGCAGCATGATCTAAGAGGAATGAAACCTCTCGAGAGCTTTTAACATCCAAAATAGTAAGCTCAGCGACATGTGTGTTTCCACTAGCATCATGTTTAATAGCATGTTTCTGTGGAGAAACACCATTGTCCGTTCTTACAGCTTCCTTGTTTGTTGACAAGAGATCTCGGATCGTTTCATTGTATATTTCCAACATAGATACCTATAGATATGATACAAGACTAGGGAAGTTATATATCTACAAGGATTTATCTTACTTATTGGTACTTAAAAGACAAGATTAAAAAAATACCTGCAATTCGTATTTCCAACCCTGGGATCGAAGAGACTGCCTCGTTTCAAATATTTGCTCCAAACATCGCGGGATCAGCCCTTTTTCCTCGGGGTTTCCTGGTCTACCCATCATTGTATAAGTTTTTCCCGATCCGGTTTGTCCATATGCAAAAATGCACACCTAAAAAATGAATTATATCAGCTTTAATTAGTCCACCAAACAGTGAGACACAGTATTATTTGCCATTTCCAGAGTTAAGTTACCTTGTAACCATCAAGAGCACTTTGAACAAGTTGAGAAATCTCAGTGAAGACATCTTCTTGTGATGCAGTCGGCGCAAAAACCTTATCAAATGTGAAAGCATGCTTTTGCGCTGTCCATAGCAAAAATACATCAACTGTTAATAAATGTGTCATTTCCGCAAGAACCACATTATCGCAGAAGTTTTCGTTACATACCATTTTGCATCAAGTCAATACCCCGACCAAGTGCTTCTAGAGATGTCGGGTAAGAAATAGTTTTTCCCTCATCACCATTATTCTCACCCGGCAATAGAGGTCTAACTCTACAGAACACACGTATGTTACCTTTCAGTTCCTGCAACATGAGAATAAATCAAGATAAGTCAAGCTACACAAAGGGAAAGAAAACAAATGTGACAGAGGTTAGTCAAGCGGATTATACAAGAATGGTATTGTGCAACTTCTTCCGTAGTTTTTCTCCTTCAACGAGTTTAAGCTCTGCTTCTTCTACGCGACTTTTCAAATCGATAATGCTTTGCTTCTGGTCTTCATACTCATTCATTTTCTCAAAGGTAGATAGATCAGACACCTAGACCATAAACAATCAAGAATTGTATCAAAAACTTAAGAACTTGTGAAATCTAATAAAGTCATTTGTTATATGTATAACTCGAGAATGTGATGTAACCTGCAGTCTCCTCTCAGAGGATACTAGTCGATCCTGCAACTGTCGTATCTGGGTACTCTGGGACGAGCATGTAGTCTGGGCCAAAAAAAATTTACACCATCTTAAGAAAAATTAACCAGCAGGGAATTTCTTGCAAGAAATAAAAGGATAGGAAACCTCAAGCTCGGTTATGGCGTCTTTGAAGTCATTATACTTGGTTGCCTCGGTTTGTAAGGTTTTTACTTCCACTAAATGGCGATCACGGTCATCTTTGACTTGCTGAAGCTCGACCTTGAGACTCGAAATTTCGTTTACCAATTCACCTTTCTGCTTCATGATATCTTCTTGTGAAGCCTAGCAAAAATAAAAAAGACACCCAATCACATTCTGACCAAAACTATAAACAAATACTACTATTGATCGGATTAAACAGAGCATTAATCACCTTAGAAGCAGCAAGCTGATCCTGTAATGCTGAAAATTGACCCTTCAAATTGCCAATATTTTCGATAATGGCAGTCCGTTCTTTCTCACCGCGTTTTATAGTCTCGTGAGCTTCATCAAGATCACCTTGTAGCTTGCTGTTATACAGCTGCAAGCTTGAGTTATACTCTTGCAACAGTTTGTACATGTCATTTACCGATTGTATCTGAACAAAACACATAAACAAACGGTCAACATTGATTAGTTAAAGCTAAGTAATAGCAATTTCCCATTTCAGATCCTTTTAAGTTTTCTTACCCTCTGGTTAGCTGTTTGAAGATCTCCTTGTGCTTTTCCTAGCTCTTCTGTGAGACCAGCTTCTGCCTTTTCAACAGAAATTCTTGCTTCTTTCTCTTTTCCAAGAGAATCATTCGCCGCCTAAAGCAAAACAAATCGAATTAAAACCCGCAAATATGAATTAGATTACAAGTAATTTAAGTAGAATTAACCGCGCTTCTTACCAACTTCTCCGTTTGTTCCCTAGCAAGTTGCACTTGAACAGATTCAAAGTTTTTCCTCAGCTCTTCAATTATCATATTTAGCTCCTCTTCTTTGTTTTTCAAACTAACCTCTGTCATCAAATTGCACAAA